AAAACTTGAGCTAAAACTTAAAGAAAGTATGTTTATAGAATGGTTAAAGCCTGGTATGAATAAACAGGTTAACCATGTACAAATAACACTTTCTGTTTAGCTGCTATTTTTTATACATATTGCGTATCTTTTTAACCTATTCTTTTGTTATTTCCTTTTTCTTTTGTATGATATGATAAAGTTTTTAACTGATTTTATTGTATTTTTGTAATTATATTATTATTAGTTTGTACAAGAATAATTATATTTTGTATTGTTTTTTTAACACCTTTATAGGTATTTTAACAAATTTTAACTGAAGATGACTAGTGTTAGTCGAAACATGTTTTTATTAAAAAAATGGTTTTAAAAATTAGAAAATTTGTCTTGTATATGAAAACATTTACATTTTTGGTGCTTAGAAGAAGCACCAAAAATGTAACAAATGTAGACAAATTTTCTAATTTTAATTCTAAAAATGTAGACAAATTTTCATTTCAATTTCTAAAAATTCAATTCAATTCAAATTAATTCATTCAATTTCTAAAAATGTAGACAAATGTAACAAATGTAGACAAATTTTCTAATTCTAATTCTAAAAATGTAGACAAATTTTCTAATTTTTAAAACCATTTTTTTAATAAAAAACATGTTTCGACTAACACTAGTCATCTTCAGTTAAAATTTGTTATATATATATATATATATATATATAGTATATATATATATATATATATATATATATATATATATATATATATATATATATATATATATATATATATATATATATATATATATATATATATATATATATATATATATATATATATATAGTATATATATATATATATATATATATATATATATATATATATATATATATATATATATATATATATATATATATATATATATATATATATATATATATATATATATATATATATATATATATATATATAGAAAATTTCTTTTAAGCACCAAAAATGTAAATATTTTCATATACAAGACATATAAAAAATATTTTCATATACAATATATATATATATATATATATATATATATATATATATATATATATATATATATATATATATATATATATATATGTAAATGTATATATACTCAACGTAGTTAAGGCAATTAGTAAAACTTAAATCGAAATTATTAAAAGAATTTAGTCTTTGACAATCCTAAAACGTAGATTTTAAATAAAATAAAATACAGGTAAACTTATTTTTGTTTGCTACAACTTCTTCTCTTTGCATTTTAAAAAACTTTCTTGGAGATTTTTTGTTTGTTTAAGCAGAATTTAAGACTTTTACAGTCTCATTTTGAAATTTTTTGGAATTTTGCTCAGTCGATTTGTTTCAAATTGTTTTAAATAAAATTTAAAAACATCCTTAATTTGGACATGATTATATATCAAAAGAGCTAGAACTTTTACAAAGTGTTTAAGTTAATAAATATATATTTTTTAATGTTTTTATACTCAATGTTATAAGGTTCTTCACTTACTAAGTGAAAGTAAACAAAAAAAATTTTTGATGGTAGTAATAGTTCTTTTACTTTTATTTCCTTGAGGAATATTCTACTGTTTAAATGTCTTTGCAATAGTTAAAATAATTTTAGAACCGAGCTAAGTCTGCACTCAAAAATACAATTCAAGAACTTGAGATTATAACCGTTTGGAAATTAAAGCTAAAGTTAGGATTCCATAATATACCACAATTATATTAAATCATATAACAGAAAATCTTGATAAGCATATCACATTTTAAAATAAAATCTTACTGGGGACTGTAAGCAATTCTTTAAAATAAAATTAAAAAAAAATGGTTACAGTCCACAGTAAGGTTTTTGTTGTTTTTCCTAAACAATCTAATCAATTATCTTGCAGACCCGATATTTTACGGAAATATCTCGATTGTTTAAACTAATAACCTACTGACAGCAATTTCTTAAAAAGCACCTTAACTTGTATGTAAATTCTGTAACAGCATTTTGAAATACGTTAGATAAAGATAAAGTCTTGTATTTCGGCGAACAACCCTATCTTGAACTAGCATTGTTTCTAAAAAGTGATTCTTCTTAATTATCTTGGAAGAATAAAAATTTTGTTATTTAAAATATTTTGTTACGTAAATTTAAAATTCTTTTGAAAGTAATTACAAAGATTTAAATCTTTATTAATTGATGTGAGCTTTAAATACTTGAAAACCTTTACTTTTTGAAATTAATTTGTTGTTTACTTAGATAAACAATCTTTTTTTTCATGATCCAATTATCTTCTCAATGAATCATTTTCCAATCGGCAATAAACAGATTAGACGTATTTCTTTACATATAATTTAACTTGTATGAGTTTAACTGTACATAAAAGCTGTTTATCGCAGTTTTTTAAGAATATTTTTCTTAAATTTTGGTTAAAAAAGTAAAAAGTAATATTATATAAGAATGAGTTTGATAGTTTCAATGTTATTGGTTTCGCTACTTTATTTGAAATACGTTGAAAGTATTGCTGAAAAAATTCAGAAAAAAAAAATTAGTTAAATATTCAAAAACTACAGAAGAGAGACCATAATTGTTGTTTATAAATTGACATCAAAAAAATAATGGTAAGTTTTGGTTAAGAAAAGTTTTAATATTTTACATTTTGATCTTCTGACTTTTTATTTTGGAAAGACGCGGGCAAGGTGACGAACGTTTTGAAAGTCGTTTTGTTGTATGGCTGTTGGTTTTTACAAAATTATCACCATATAAAAACAATATTTTATCAATATGTTTGTTTTATCATTATGATTCATTACTTGCATAAGTTTTCAGTTTGCAAGTAAAAAAAGTTTGTAATAAAAAACTAAAATGTATAATTCATAAGTTTGTTATCCTGGTCACCTGGGCAAGTTGTGTTTTCTGTCCCCAGAAACTACAAACTACTTTATTTAAACTGTTGCAAAATAAACAGGCATTGCAACAGGCATTGCAACAGGCATTGCAACACTTAGTAAATACACGACGTCTTAAAGAGGTCTAAAAAATGTCTTTCAGACATCTAGACGTGTAAAAGACGTTTTATAGGCGTCTTTAAGACGTCGTGTGTTTACTGGGCATCTCCACGCAACATCAACTTGTAATAATCGTAACCGTAATACTTTACGATCGTAAAAAAAAAAAAAAAAAAATTAATGCAGCATAAGTTATGCGTATAAAATCACGTTAAAATACTTAAATACTTCTCTTTTTTTTCCTTTTTTTTTTCTTTATTCGTTGCAAAAAAATTCATTTTTCCCCGACTTATTTTGCATTTGCTATCTTGCCCCGTAAATTCCCATCGTGAAGTACGAAACACTATACTCTTATTACAAGATATTTATTATTAAGTAAAGCAATAATAATGTAATAGTAGTTTATTACTATAAAGTATTATTTAATTTAAAAAAAGTTTTATTACTAAAACGAAAGTTTTATTTTTAAAAAGTTATAGACAATTACATTTGCTGATAATATTGTGGGTAAAATTTGCGCTAATATTCAGATAAAGCTCGTAAAATAGTCGTAAAATGATTTTAAGGAAATAGTGGATACTATTTAAAAAACTTGGATTTTTTTAAAGGCTTTGTTAGCTCGTACATTCTACCGCTCTTCGAAACTAAAGTGGATGTGGTGAGTATAGACGTAAAACTATAATTGCTACACTATAATGAAATAACATTCACTAATAGTATACAACAAATAACATTCGCTAATTGTATACGTAGAAAATATATAGGTATAATGAAATACAGAGTGTAGGATAAAACAGTTCTTAAAACAACATTTTCCCCTCTTCCTAAATGTGTTACGTATAACAAAATAATAATGAACTTAAAAATTGCTCCCTCGAAATTTTTCGACGTATAATATTTACAAAAAGAATAAACTGTGGATTTTTTTTTTAATGTAATTCACCATACCAAGCCCACTACAATTGAAGAGGTTACTTTTTGTGGTTACAATCTTTTCTCTACTTTTTAACTCCAAAACATGAACCTTGATCGACATATAAATTATCTTTTTGGCTTTCTGACATATAAATTACGGGTATTTGCAAATTTTATAACGCTGATGCAAAATCTGCTGATGATTTGATCTCGCATTGACTAGATTTGACTTTTAGCGCTGTGGTTTGCTCTACAGTAAAATAACAATCGTCAGCCGCTTCTTTCTTGTACATCACTGCGAAGAAATGCCAAAAAAACTTTTTCGTGAAATGTTTTTAAAAGCAACCATTACAGCCATAATATCTTTTTATTTAAATTGAGAAGTGCCATTGTTGCTGAGTACTTCGTTGGGAAGGTGAAGGATTTTGTAGATGTAGAGTATAACTAAAAACTTTGTACAACCAGTGGAATCAGAAACTATAGCAAATGTTTTTAACTCAACGTCCCATATCGCACGGGTAATGATTGAAATTTGGTTTTGACCAAAATGTGCAGCTTGCAGTTTGTTTTGATTGAACACTTAACATTTTTTTTTACAAACGTGTTTAATAAGTTTATCACGCATCACTAATATGTGCTAGATAAACTTTATTATGATAGACTTCTTTAAAATTTTTGTTTGCATTAAAATCAATGTTTGTATTAAGCTTGGACAGGAATGGCGTTTATAATGACATATGATGTATATTATAACATATGACGTGATATATATGGCGTCTTTAACATATGGCGTGATCATATATGGCGTATATAATAACATATGACGTGACTTATATAATAAACAACTTTAGCAAGTGAAAAATTAAAAATATTTTGCCACCGAAATTTGTTTACACAATCGCCCTCATGTAGAATAGAAATCTTTTTTAAGATTTTGTTTTTAGTAAATTTAATATGAAAATTCCATTCAACTGGTTAATATAAACGTTCAAATAGTAATATGATACAAAGAAGTGAATTCTTTCTTAATATAAAGTTAATATAAGCTGATCAAATTTCAAAAATCAACCCGAGTTTTGAATTCTTTATATACTAGAAACACTTTTAATAGAAGGATAATTATAAAAAATAAAAAAGTGATTGTTAAAAAGCTCAACAAATTTTTCAGATATATATCACAGTGGACCAGAGTGACCTCCAGGTTTTATGTCGTGTCAATTAAACGAAACTTTTTTTTATTTAATTATATTTATTTTATAATAATAGAAAAAGTTGTTTTTAAAATCTAAACCAAGTGCTAAGGGTCCCAAATGGGGCAAAATAGGGTGTTAAAGTAGTTTTATTTTTAAGATTGATTATGATCGAAAATATTATACTGATTTGAAATCATATAAAAACATAGGTCTGAAAGTTTCTGGCAAGTGGTCTATTTTACATTATCTAATAGTATTAGATAATGTACTACTATATGTAGTATATGTTTTTCAACTATTGCAAAAGGATATTTACACAACTGCTCTTCTTTATCTGCAGTAGAGAACCTTATTAGCAGAGAATCTTATTAGCATTAAGTCTAGGAAATTTGCAAGCAGAGCAAGTTGCATCTGGTATAATAAAAGCAAAAATGGAGACTGACAAAATTGCGAATGGAGAACAATTTATTTTGTCTTCTGGCGGAAACCCATTGATGATTACAGTTGGATGTCCTGATAACAAAGCAAATAGAAGGTACATATATACTGTTGAGTACATATTTGTCAAATGATAAGATATTATTATTTTGTTCATTTATACCTAGGTCAGTTAAACAAGTATCTCTTCAGATGATTAAAGAACTTCAAATAGTGTTAGAACTTTCCCTTAATAAAACGGGGCTATTGATATCTACTCTTCGAAAAGGAATGGGAAGTAAATTGGTTGTAGAAAACAACATTTTTGGAAAAATGAGTGATTTAGAAGAGTCTTTATCGCATTTTTATCAAGTAGAAAAGGTGGCAATTATATATCTTTTAGTATTGAAAATTAATTATAGCATTAAAAATTTTTCTAAAATTTATTGTTATTTTTCAGGTCAACTTCTTTGATAGTACTGGTGGCACTTCTATAAAAGAACTTGTTTTTGTTCAAGGCACATCTAGTTTTATTCTTGATTTAATTATTCAACGTTGTCTTGATCCCCAGACAGCATTTGTTTGTATTTCTATGGATGGAGGAGGTGGTATCATGAAGGTCTTTGCAAATGTTTTCGATGTTAATGAAAATACTACTTCAAATTTATACTTAAATAGTGGTGTACAACGATGTCAAATTCTCTCCATAGTTGAAGATGTGCAAGAATCTAACTTCAATTTAAGAATAATTTTAAAGAAACTCAATTTACAAGATCTTAAGTTTTCAGCAGCTTTTGATTTGAAATGTGCTAATGCAGTTTTTGGAATATCAAGCCATGCAGGTAAAAAAGCTTGTCTTTGGTGTGAAGGAGACTCAGTTGAAGTTTGTCGTAAACTGCGAACACTTGGCAGCCTTGACTATTGGTATCAAAGATACACTGTAGAAAGTTCAAAGAAATCTAATATGAAACATTTTATGAATGTAATATATCCAAGAATTCTCTACCTCGACGAAGATCCAGATACACTAATCCAACATTTAGTAGCTCCCTCTAAATTACATATCCTGATAGGAATAGTAACAACACTGGGATGTTTATTATTGGATCTTTGGCCAGGTTTTGATATTCTTTTGAAAAATAGTGGTGTTCTACAAAGAGGATATCAAGGTAGAGATTGGGATGGGAATAATTCAAACCAGATACTAAAGTGTGTTGATGAGTTGGAAAGAGTTGTTTTGTATGAATATCCTGATCTTCTGCCAATTGTTCAATGTTTAAAAGACTTTAAGATTGTAAAAGATTCTTGTTTGGTAGAACACTTGAGCTTCGGTATCAGCAAGCCATTCTAAAATTTAAGAACTCCTTTTTATCTGCTCAAGAAAATGCAGATATTCTTGGAAAAAAACTTTCAATTAGTTGGAAAGTACATATACTCTTGTGTCATGTGCAACCTTTTGTTGAACACCACAAATGTGGTTTGTCTAAGTTTGCTGAACAATGTGGAGAATCAGTTTACTCAAAATTCAAACCAACGTGGACCAGGTTCAAACGACAAGTTGCAAACAAAGAATATGGTGGAAGACTCCTCTCTTCTGTTATTGATTTTAAGGGAAGAAGAGTTAGTAATATTTAGGTGCTTTATGTTCCATATGTCAGTAGTATTTGTAAATATTAGTCATTTTATTGTTTTAAATTTTATTCAATTCATTTAAATTAAAAAATAAAGATTAATAAATAAATAAAAAAAATAAGAATTTTATATTTTTTATTAGATTCTTGGGGCACTGTACCTGATAATGAAAGATAATGAATTTTAAATAATTTTACAAATCTAAACTTCTAAAATAAATTCAGTGAGAGAAAAAAAAATTAAAAAAAAAAAAAAATTTAAATGGGTTTGGGGCCCCTGAATTTTCCCTTTGCCCCATTTGGGACCCTTAGCACTTGGTTTAGATTTTAAAAACAACTTTTTCTATTATTATAAAATAAATACTAATAAATAAAGTTTTGTTTAATTGACACGACATAAAACCTGGCGTTCTCTCTGGTCCACTGTGATATCTAAAGTTGGCTGACCGAATTTCAAAAAATAACCCAAGGCTTTGATATATTTTTATTTAAAACCAACCCAAGTTTTGATATATTTTCATTTAAGAACGCTGCAAGAAAGATAACGATTAATTTATTTTTAATAGAGTTGCCCACAAAACAATTTTTTTTGGGCTTGTGAGTTTAAATAACCAAACTTCGGTCTACATCTATGGCCTCGACTAAAAAACTATTTTTAAGATACTAAATTATTTTTTTGCCTTGATTACTCAATTTTATTCTATTGACAAAAACATTCAAAATTTTAAAACGGGATCGCCTAAAACGCCGAATTCTAAAACGCCGAAAAGCCGAAATGCCGAAAAAAATGGCGTAATAATAGAATTCGGTAACCGTCAAAAAAGACAACGAAAAGTTAAATATCCCCCGGATTTTTTATTGCGCATTTGTAAATTTAAAGTTTAAAAGGACAAAAGCCAAAGCCAAATTTGGCTTTTGGTTCTGCCTTTTTAAACAAAATTTACTGCTGCATTTTATTTTTTAATTTTACATGTTTAAATTTTTTTAAATTTAAAACAATAATTTAAACATTAATAACGCGGGGGTTGACTACCGCTCTCATTCCGTTTTTTATTCTGTTACTCTAAGATCGTTTTTCGGCATTTCGGCTTTTCGGCGTTTTAGAATTCGGCGTTTTAGAAACTCCCTTCTTTTAAAACACGATATTTGCAGATATCAACAGTAACTACATCAAATTTTCAAAATAGCTTCAAGATGATAATAAAATCCTTTTATCATACCATTTTTAATTGACTCATTTAGTCAAAAGTTATGCTTCTTTTAGTAAAAAGGGTGTTTCAGACAAACCACTATTTGTGAACATCTTAAAAATTGAAAAATTTTAAATTTCAAAAAAAGCTTATGATGTATTGAGTTATCATATTTAAAATCTTTAAAAATAGTTGATAATAATGATAAACATGAAAAAATAAAGATTTTTTCTAAAATAATATAAAAGTTTTGATAAGGTATGTTAAAAACCATCTGCAACATAAGGTTCACATTTTTCATTCTCATTCTTTTTATCCATACAGCCTATTTTAATTGCTCGTAGTTGTTGTTTTTTTTAATAATGATTAGACTGGGTCACTTTTATTGGATTTTTATTGAATCGAATATATATAATCCATATATCATTTTATAAAAGATATAATTCTGCAAAAGAAATACTTAAATACCAAATTTTTTATTATTTTATTTTGAAAAAAAAACAAAATTTTTTTCTTGGGCAACTACCTTAACAACTTTTTAATTCATTATGGAGTTTTATAGAAACTATAAGTATTAAAGCGGTATTTTTTTTTTAAAGTCTGTTTAATTTCGTAAAGTGTTCAACGATACGACAAATAACATTTTGGCTACTAAATGTAAATGTAAAAAAAAAAAAGCCATAAATTCTAACTCACATATAAACCCTTAGATACCTAAGGTTTAATCAAATCATCAGAGAAATCATATGAAAAATACTTCATAAAAAATATTTTAAACATAAAATGTATAAAAATGAAATACAAAGTTTGAAGTACATAGAAAAATGTAAAAACTACATAATAAAATAAAATACAATTATTTAATTGAAATTACAAAAATTAAAAAAACTTTTATAAAGCTAAGAAACATTTAAATTTAAGCAAAGGAACACTATTAAAAACTTTAAGATGCAATGAAGTTTCAAAACACCAATAAAAATACTCAAAGAATATAAATGAGCAAATAGTAATATGCCAGAACATCATTCAATAAATAGAAAAATAATGAAAATAAAAAACATGATAGTTAAGAAGCTCAGCAAAGTTCTTCTTGATATAGCTTCATAGTTGGCTGATGGATTTTAAAAAAAACAAATCAACCAAAACTTCTATAAAGGAATATAATATATATATATATATATATATAGATATATATATATATATATATATATATATATATATATATATATATATATATATATATATATATATATATATATATATGTAAATAATATACAGCATCAAAAATTTGGGTTAAAAATTAAATTTAAAAAAATCAACGGATTATGCAGTAATTGGACTAAGACTATATGCGATCAAAAATCAGGAAACAGTATATAGTATATAAATCAAATGAAACTCATTATAACTTGTGGAGTTCTGACCACCGTTTTTCTGAAAAATCTATGAGTTTTCATAGATCTGTCGTATTAAAAATTTTTGAGAGAAAATGATTAAATAAGAATATCGTGAAATGATCTCTATTGTCAGTTTTGATTTTTGAATTATAAAAATTTTTAGTAATTGTATTAGCAACTTTTAAAGATGTCTAAATAGTATCGCTTTGAATGGTTATTAGACTTACTTTACCCTGTTTAGTGAGGTAATGTAACTTTCTTATTGTTTTTCTATGAAGTATGAGAACTCATTAAAAAAAAAAGTATAAACTTTATTTGAATTATTTGATCACAAGTTTTAACATGCTACTACAATCGATACGAAACAATTAAACGCGAAAGAATTACTACAGTCGATACGAAACAACTAAACGCGAAAGAACTACTAAAATCGATACGAAACAACTAAACGCGAAAGAATTACTACAGTCGATACGAAACAACTAAACGCGAAAGATCTACTACAATCAATACGAAACAACTAAACGCGAAAGAACTACTAAAATCGATACGAAACAACTAAACGCGAAAGAACTACTACAGTCGATGCTTTAAAGGCGAAAGAACTACGCACGCTTTAAGTATGCTTTAAACGCAAAAGTGCAAAACACTCTTTAGATCAAAAGTATAAGCATTATATTCAAGAGTCAAATTAAAAATTTCTTTGCAAATTACTCAGCTTTAATCTGGGGAAAAGTAAAAATATCCATGAATTAGAAATTAAATTAAATGACTTACTTTAGTTAATGACATTGTTGAAGACTAGTCAAAAGTCTCTAGAACCTAACATCTGAGATAAAATAAAAGATTTAGTAAACTGAGAATAACAAAGCTTAACATCAGACAGGAATTGTTTACATTGGCTTCTCGCAATAATAAAAGGATATTTGTTCTTAAGAGAAATGTTCTTGTAAAAAAAATGAAAAAAAAAAGATTACTGTTTAATAAAGCAGCTACTCAAGATGGTGAACAATGTGGAGTAGAATGAGGCTTGACTTAAAATTGAAGAGAATTAATGAAAGCTTCCAAACTTTTATTACATAAAGAATAAAAGCTTTCAAGATGCACTTTATGCATACATATTATGGATATAAAAGTATATGTTTGCTACTTATTTAGATGCTGGCATACAATATCCTTTCATTGTTATATAAACTTTAGTATTTATATGGTGTATTATTTGTCGAAAGAGAAGATGATCAGATGGATGAGGGGTGTGACTCTAGAAAGACAAGAAAAGGAGGCATATTCTTAGACAGATTAGAAAAAAACGTTGTATTGAACAACGTTTGTTGAATAGACTAAAGTAATTTAGGTATCAGCATGTAGAAAGGTAACATCATCAATAGAAAATGGTAGTGGCAGAAGTAAGAAAACTTGAAGAGAGTGCCTTACATATTGTATGAATGAGCTTAGATTGTTTATATTAGAGAAACAGCATAAAAGAGGAAGGCAAAAGCCTGATGATGATCATCATTGTGATCATGATTATGATCATGACGATGATGATGATCATCATCATTAGGTTTTAACCTTCCTCTTTTATCCTGTTGATGATGATGGTGATGAAGATGATGATGATGATGATGATGATGATAATGATAATAATGATGATCATGCTGATCATATTGATCATAATGATGTTTATATATGCATATATATACAAAATATGAAATGAATTTTAAATTAAAAAAATGTACTTTAGGATGTATAAATGTTTATGCAGCCCCGGTCACAAACCCGGCCCCGGTCCTGGCTATATTTTATCAAACCTGGCCCCGGCCCCGGCCCTAGTCAAATAATAAATCCGGTCACTTACTATTTAAATATTCTGTTCTAATTTTTATTAGTTTTTTTGGAACTATCAAGGCTTCCGAATATAAGATTATAAACCGTATGGTTTATAATCTTATTACATCTTCAATAACTATTTAAATGAATCCTTAGAATATCTTTAAAATTCTATAACTTCTTCAATTACTATCTGAAACTTTGAAACCTAAAATGAAAATTTGGAGCTATAGCTATTTTTACATAGGTTTTTTAATAGCATTTTTAATTACTGTATATAGCAGTACTTCTAATTGTAGGACTAGATTGCTCAGTTGGCTTTTGTGTCAAACGAATTGTTAAAATCCGGACTGTTGTGCGATACAAGTTCAAATTCAGTTACCGTCAACTCAGTGCTTAAGTAGTACTTCGTTACGCAAAAATTTTGGTCAATAACGGACGCCACTTTAGATTAGGCTATGACAATTTGAGGCTGTTTCTATGCTAAGGCAACAATATCTTCGCATATAAGAACGTTGAATAGCAAAATATAGTTTGAAAATCAAATAAATAAAAAATAAATAAGCACATCAAAGCACAAGTGGCGTAAGTGACATTGTTTTGAGATATTAAAGGGTTTGCTACAAATGTTATCTATAAAAAATCAGTAGATAACATTTTGACAATATTTTTCAATAAAACTCTACAAAAAAAGGTAATTTTTAACCTAATATGTCGTTATTAAAACATATTTTTAATTTTTTTGTGTTTTTGAACACCTAAAAATTGTTACACCACTTGTGCTGTAAATGGGTTTATGGTGTTATTTAGAACAAAAACAAATCGTTTTTGTTAAAACTCTGCTTTAATATAATAAAAATTGGAAAAATGTTTTTGTTTTATTAAAATAATAATTGGAATAACATCCTCAGCATTCTCATTAGTGACAATTTTTGTGCATTTGTTTCTAGATTGTTGCCCGGACTTCGGACATGTTACATTAATGTCATAGCATGTTTACAGTTCCGGTTCTGTCCTGTACTTGGCTGCTGGTGCTCTAGATTCTCTATGTATAAACAAACCGGAAGCAATTTCTTGCAAACTCATTGAACCATTAACTTCATCTCAACAACACATGAGTTCCATTTTGGTTGACAGTTCATGGCAGCCTAAACTGTATTCGTGAATATTACGTGTTATAGGCCTGTTGACACACCAATTTTGGGAAATACAGAGACTTCTCTAAATCAAAAGAGATTGCATAGCAGCTTTCATTGTTAGCTAATTTTTCAGCGTGACCTCTTACTTCTGCCATTTTTTCATCAGGGGTTTTGTTTCCAGGAACCTTCATACCTCGTTTATCATCCCCTGAATGCTCTTCATTTTCACGGCTTGCGTTACTCTTTCATTAGAGATTTGTAGAGTTTGTAAAAAATACTTTTTACAAAACTGTTTGCTTTCCTCATTAACCTTTACATAAAACTTATTTGTAGAACCATTTTGATTCTAAGTACGGTGATTGGCCGATGTCGTTGTGATGCAACTTGTTTAACCAGACCACAAATGAATGCTGATTCGGTACTACCATTCGGTACAAGATTCGGTACTACCATGATATGGTAGTACCGAATCTTGTTCTGAGCATTAAAGTTAAATTAAGTATAATAACCCATATCAGCATATGTACAAACGTACACAATTCATTTTGTTCATTTTTCACTATAAAACTTAAGCAAAACAATAATTGAATATATGTATATATATATATATATATATATATATATATATATATATATATATATATATATATATATATATATATATATATATATATATATATATATATATATATATATATATATATATATATATATATATATATATATAAATTTTATAAAGCGATAGTTGCGGTCAAATAATGATGAAGATTTTATTTTAATAATGGTGAAGATGTATAAAATGTTAATAAGATATTCAAATTCTAAAAAAAGTTTCCACAAGGTAATATTGAAAAACCCAAAAAAGCTCCTTAAATTTGCATAAGGTCACTAAATTGGCTGGAACCTTCCCCCCCTCCTCCCGATTGGGTGTGCGAAGTAGCGTATACACGGGTCTGATAGCAACTGACAAAATTATACTATTTAGTGTAACTGTTTTAATATTGGCTGTAGATTGAATTTTATGAATTAATTTGGACGTAAAGTTTCCATAATAGTACTTTCAGGGTTGAAAGTTTCTGAGTGGGAGCTTTAGAAAACAGAGTATTCTAGGCACCCGTCCGTCTTGTTTAACGGATGCCAACGTCCAACGTCGGACCAATGTTGCTTTGTTGATATCATATTATTCGGTGATAATCGACAAATTATATTTAAAACTTTAAATATTGGTTATTTTATTAACGATTTCCTCTTGATCATTAGTTTTATAATTTATAGTCAATTATGTCAAATAAATATGAAGTAATTATTTTGTTTGACGGATATGGTTATATTGATAAAAATGAAAAGTATCATGCATCTGGAACATCAACACTAATTAAAGGTAACACAAATATACTTGTTGATACAGGTGGTGCATGGCAAAAAGATCATCTTCTAAAAAGGTTAAATGAAGAAAGTTTATCACCTAATGAAATTTCATATGTTGTTGGCACTCATGGGCATTCAGATCACATTGGAAATTTAAATTTGTTTTTAAATGCTATTCAAATTGTTGGTTTTGATATAAACTTAATGGATGAGTATTTGTTGCATGATTTTAATTCTGGGAAACCCTACATTATAAATGATTTAGTTAAAGTTATTCCGACACCAGGTCATACATCTGCAGATGTATCTGTAATTGTATCTGGTGTTGAAAACTATGATGGTGGGGTAGTAGCAATTTGTGGAGATTTGTTTGAAAATGAAAATGATGAAAACATATGGAAAAATGTTAGTTTTGATGCTGTTGTACAGGAAAAGCACCGACAATCTATACTTAAACAATGTGATTATATTGTCCCTGGGCATGGAAAAATATTTAAAAATTTAAAAAAATGTATTCAAAATTGATTTCATAAACTAACTTACATTTTGTAAACTATTATGAATTTTTAATAGATTTTTTTTTCATTATTGTTGCCTTCTATAAATTTTAAAAGTATTTTAGTGTAAAAATTGGTCAAAATAGTTTATTTTAGGCGGTTCTGATCTGTTTAAGAACTTGTTTTATTTAATTATATTTGACTAAAGCTGATTTTTATAAAGTATACTCAGACCTGAACTTGGTACTGATTAAATGTTCTTAAATTTATTTGAGGAATATATTTTATTACAAGTTCGATTGAGCTAATAGGCCAGATGAATAAAAATGAGCAATTGCTCGTACTCAGTAATTGGTCACCTTTACGTGAATAAAAACTTAAAGAATTTTGCTTAAGTTTTTATTCATGTAAAGCTGAGCAACTACTGAGTAAATTGCTTAACTTTTTGTGAATAAAAATTTTAGCAAAACTGCTGAAGTTTTTATTCAAGTAAAGCTGACAAATTACTGAGTAAAAGCAATTGCTCATTTTTATTCAACCTAAGTTTATGATATATTGTTGTATTTTGTAAATATAATTAAAAATAAAAAGTCTGCTGTAAATTTTTCTACCAAATAGAATAATTAGAGTTTAAAACTAATCTAAAAATAAAATTTTATTTAAAATTAAATTAAAGAAAAATAAAAGTTAAAAGAATTAAAAAATGTTTATCTTCAGTTTTTTGCTTACTTAAAAAATCTTGTCTTTTTTTGAGTTGTTTTATATTTTCTTGATTGTTTATCATAAAAAATTCTTTCACTTTATGATTCAATTTTTTAAAATTGATTTCTTAAATTTATTAGTTCTCATAAAGTGGAATTTTACTAATAAAAGTTAATGTTTTTTTTCTCTTAAGGTACTTAACAGAAATGTATTCAAGTATATCTTCTTTACCCAGCAAAAAAGAGCTGGTAAAGAAGGTTATTATAAGCATCAATGGTATGAGTTGTTCATCTTGTGTTGCAACAATTGAAAATCACATGAATAAAGTTGATGGTATAATTTATTTTTATAAAATGTGATAATAATAATAATAATAAAAATAAAAAAATTTATTGATAATTGAATTTAACATAAGTTTAGATAAGAAAATCAATGATAAAAAAAAAATTTAAACCAAATAAATAATGCTTTCTTAACAATAAATTTGAATTGATACTTTAGTTTTTGAAAAGTAATAAAAAAATGATTTAATTTTAATAATACAGGAGTTATTATGCAGACTTCTTTTCACTTTAAATAATTAGTTCATAATTAATTCTCTTCCTCTTAATTACATCTTTTGAAACTTTATTAATTATTGTTTATTAAAAAGCTATAAAGTTTGTTTGTTAAAAAATTATTGTAGATATTTTTTATAGACAAACTGGTTACCAGTTATAAGTGGTGTGCTTTGGGATACTGTTTTGGAACCACTTTTATTTATAATCTTTATCAACAACCATCCTAATAATATCAAAAACTCTATAAAATTTTATGTATATAACAGTAAAATAATAAACATAAAAATGGCCACAGAATTACTGCAGACAGATCCTGTGTATTTGACAGAATTAAGTGTATTTGACAGAATTAAGTAATAGAATGAACATCAATCTGATTGAAAAAGTTCAATTATGCTAAAAGCAAGGTTATGCATATTGACAAACAAAATGCTTGAACTCCTTATTTAATGTGTAGTTCTGATTTAAAAAAAAAATCAGATTTTGATAGTATGAATCCTGAATGTGATCTTGGTGTTATAATTCGATCAAAACTAAAATGATAATCACATATTATTAAAGCAGTTTATAAAGTAAATTTAATGCTGGATTTAATTTGACAAACTTTTAACTATTTAGATATATATATGGTTAAAAAAGTATACACAGTGTTTGTAAATCTATATCTTGAGTGGACTTGACAAGTTTGGTGTCCTTATCTAAAATAGGATATTTATAAAAAAATTAAACATAGAGCAATCTTACCCACACAATCTCTTAAAAAAACTCATTAAAATGATTAAAAATTGCGAATTTGACCACATTACAAGACTGTTGGATTCAAGGTGATAAGTCCAGAGATGCATAATTGAACAATCTTAATATTGTTTATTTGATTTATAAAAATATAGAAACCAAATATATGTATATACAGTAGAATCCCGTTAACTCGGACTCTGAAGAGGTATATATATTTTGCCCGACTTAATGAATGTCCGAATTAAGCAAAGCTCTCATTGTCGGACTTTCTGAAAAGATCCAAGATTTTGAGACTAATCTACACAGAATGACAAAATAATGTTTTGGTGTCTGGTGTTTAAAAGCCACATGTAACATGCTTTATCTAAATCCTCATTTAGGGAGATTTGCAGCCTCACTCTTTTCGCAGAAGTTTATTTTTTGTTTCGACTTCTGAATATATTGTGTTTTTTTCTTTTAATAATTATTCTCCTTTGTTGAATTTTATGTTATAGTTCTACTTGTTAGTTTTCTTTTAGTAACTTTCGAAATTTTTAATAAATAAAGTTTTATCAAAAATTAACCGAATCAAAGATATCAGTAAAAATGTTTAGTTTGCTAATTTATAACTGACGCGAAGGTATTTAAGTTTTGAACGTTCAATTTTTTTAATTTTAAATGTTTTTGAATTTTAATATAATAGTAATTTATAAATAGAACTTTATGGAAGTTTATCCAAATCAAAGATATCAGTGAAAATGTTTAATTAAGCCTAATTATATTTGACGCAAATATATATTTTTTTGAGTGTTTAAAGTTTGGAATTTTTATTAAAGTATTAAAAGTTTTGTTATTATATGCACTTATATGCAATTCAAAATAAAAGTCTTAGTTAAGCGCAGTTTTTTGCTGAAGGGACCCTAAAAATCAGTACGAGTTAGCGAATGGTCCGACTTAAGCATGTGATTTTATAGTAAGTTGATAGAACCAGTGTAAGACTTAAGCATGTGTAAATTCTAGACATATTTACATTCCCTGCATGTTTGACTTAATTGCTGAATGTTTTGGGATGACACTTGTCACATTCTACAACAAGATAGTAAATAGAAACCATTTTATGTAAATATTAGAAAAAAAAAATTGGGCTGGGAAATTTAACATAATCAGTTGGTATCTAATGAAGTATCTTGACAGATAATCCCACTCTATATTATTACATCCCTAGATGTAATAATATAGAGTTTAATAATATATAGTTATAATAAATGTGTATGTATAATTATTTTATGATATTGTATTCATATTTTAAGTTTTTGTTTAGGTATTGAGCAATGCCTTGTTGCTTTACTGACCCAGAAAGCTGAAATTACTTATTTAATTGACAAAATTAGTGTACAGGAGATTATTTCTAACATTGAAAGCATTGGATTCAAAGCCATGTTATTAAAGGATACAGATGATGTTCATAAAGTGTTGGAGCTTCATGTATGTTTTAAAGTTTAAATAGTTTTTATAAATTTATCTGGAAAATTATTTTCTCTAGAAAATTAAATTTTTGTTAATTGCATTACAAGTTAAACACTAGCCTTATGGCAATGCGGTTATGTGGTAAATTTTGATTTTTAGATTTTAAAAAATCGAAGTTGATTAGTGATGATTGCAAAATTTAGTTAGGTAGTTGCCATGTGGTTGCAATAATTAGTTAAGTAATTGCAATGTAGTTTTTTGCGATTTCGATTTGCCTGCTTACAATTTATTGTGAGTCTATTTTTATTGAAAAATCGTATGCAATTCGATGCGCTTTTTATTACATAATAAAAAAAAAAAATGCTTTGTTGCTAACCTCCAATGCAATAACAGTGCTTAACACAATTCACCTTTTTATAAGCATCAATAATATAAGTTAAAGTTGTTCATCTTGGGTTGCAACAAGATGAGCAACCTTTTAATTATATTTAAAAAAATTACTAAATAAATATTTACTTAATCACTCTTGTTATTTGATCAAATATAAAGATATTTTTTGTCTGATATTACCATGGATACTAGGTAAAAATCCAAATCTTAAAATATATATATTTTTTCTCTGCTCCGGCTCTCGTTTACTCCCACCAAGGCCTGATATATATATATATATATATATATATATATATATATATATATATATATATATATATATATATATATATATATATATATATATATATATATATATATATATATATATATATATATATATATATATATATATATATATATATATATAGTTATATATATATATATATATATATATATAAATTAGTAGAAAATCACTCAATGAAGACTCATCAAAAAATCTGATGAATTCAGAAAATCTGATGAATTTTTGTTAAGTGATTTTCTACTAATTTATAATTACTATGTTCTTTTAAGAACATTGAGCACTCTATTTTGTAGAATACATTTTTAAAATTGTTTAAACACACACACAGATATATATATATATATATATATATATATATATATATATATATATATATATATATATATATATATATATATATATATATATATATATATATATATATATATATATATATGCTGTACACAAAGCATATAATTTAAGCACAATTCCTCAAAATATATCAAAATATTAAAAAGTAAAAAGAAAACTATTAGTTATTTTTATTTCTGTGAAAATCTGAATATTTTTTTACAAGTGTTATTAAAATCTGGAACTAAGGCAAATATAAACATTTTTTTGGGCTGATATTAAAATTATTTTATTGGATACTAGGTAAAACCCAAAGCTTAAAATAGATATATAAATGATGTTTACAAACAATATTGATGATGAATTGATAAATCTTACTAATCTTTAGCTAACCAGTGTCTATAAGCAAAATTTTGATTGTAAAAAATCTTTGGATGAGAGAGATTTAAATATCATTCCAATTTTAGCCAAGCTAAATTGAAAGTAAATGGAATAATTATGGTGAGTCAATTATTTTTGTTTAGGAATTTTAAATTGGACTGACACAAAAGTTAAAGAAATTTGAATGAAAAGTAATAGAAGATTTAGAGAAACAATACCAAAAAGTATTGAATAATATAAATGGGTTATAGTAGATTATATTGAGAGTTTTGATAACTATTATATATATATATATATATATATATATATATATATATATATATATATATATATATATATATATATATATATATATATATATATATATATATATACACACAGAGAGAGAATTGTAAATGAATAATTTGATTTAAGACATTAGGAAGAGATCTTTCTAAAAGGCATCACACCACATTTTTTGTTTATTTTGCACTTTTTGTGGATATTTGACTATACTTAGGAAAAATCTCTTTATGCGGCATGGGAAAAAAAAACATGGTCATGATATATGTTTTTTAGCCTAATTTTTGAAGCTCAATCATTAATAAATACTCCTGAGGGCATACCATAACTTTAGGACACCAAATAAATTGTAAAACTTCATGCTTTTAGGGTAACATTTCAAGATTTAGCCATTAGAAATACTCCCTTGCTCATTACCATAATTGCGCTATAACTCCAGGACACTGAAAGGGCACTTTCAGTGTCCTAGAGTTATAGCGCATATAACTAAAGAATATTTCTGGACTTTTATATAAAGTCATAATACATATTTTAACGTCAGTTAGATAAGACTTATCCATTAAAAATATTCATAAGATAATAAAATATATCAAGGACACAAAAAAAAGACACTAAAAAAAAAAAGTTGTTAACTTTTCTAAAGTAACTACATGGTTGAAATATGTTTTTGAAATATTTTTTTACGCTTCATGAATTAAAAAAATCATTTAAAAACTGTAAGACACCAAAAAGGACACTATAAAGATCCAGCTGTAAAAATATTTTAGGATAATTATATTAGGTAATAATTCATGTTTTAAAGCCAAATTATCAAGCTTTATCCACTAAAACTTTCTTAAAAATCCTACAATAACTAATAAATACTCAGACATTATAAATATAGTGTAATATAAATACTGTAAATTATAGTATATGTCCTAGCATTTATTACTTATTGTATGATTTCATAAAAGATACAATGGTGAAAGTTTAAATTAAAAGTTTTTACTTAAAATGAAATTTTATGTCAAACTATTAATTTTTATATTTATGTTTCATGTTTGATTTAATTAGTTATTGTCTATTAAAATATGTTATTATACAATGTTACAAATGTTTTTAATTGCCATAAATCTAAAGGGATAGATCTAGGGCTCCAAAAAATTTTAAATAAATAAAAAAAAATTCTTTTTTTTTTGTCAAATTTTAAAAATTCAATGATTTTTTTGTGGTTTGAAATACAATGATTTAAAGATTAAAAACTTTTAAATTAAAACTTAGTTAAATCATTTTGAAACAAAATTTACAACCAACTGCATAATGTTAACAGAAACAACTGCACAATGTTATCACAAGCAACTGCACAATGTTATCACAAGCAACTGCACAATGTTAACACAAGCAACATTATTATGGCAATGTTTTGTCCACTTAAAATTCTAAATCATGAAAGTGTTACATTGTGGGAACAGCAATACCCTAACTTAGAGTCTACTCAAAATAGGAAAATTAAATAATGAAAGTATTCAAACTCTTTCTTTATTTAACAAAACATACACTGTATGAAGGAGGATGGAATTATTGTCGAGCATACTGAAAATCAATACTATGTTAAAGTAAACATTGTTGTTCATAGTTTGGACAGAAAGGCTTCAAATGTTTATCGAGGTCGTAGAGGTTTATATTGTGATCTTTGTGACCTTTCAAAAGAACAATGTGAAAATATACAAACAGTTCAAGATGGTTTCATCATAAACAGTTAAGTCCATGCAACAAATATTCCTTGACTTAGTAAAAGAGGGCGGGACCATTTTGAAAATAAAAAGGATTATAACATTTAGAAAATAAAAAGGATTATAACATAGAGTTAAAACAGGAATAAAATGGAATTTGCAGAATCCACTGGACAAAGGTTGGGGGGGGGAACACAACAACTGGAAATGTTGCCAGAAAACTTTTACATAATAATGTATTGCAAAAGGTAATTACAGATCACATATCTAGTCAAACAGACAGCAAACTAGTTAAAAGTATGGCTTGCTTCTTTCCACAGTTCTGATAGCAATATCATCTGGTAAAAAAATTAATATTGAGCTATACAAACAAATGTGTCAGGAGCTAAACATCTTGCTTCTACAAAAATTTTATTAGGTAAGTATAACTCCAACATCGCACAAAATTTTTGTTAATAGAAATAAATGATTCCACCAGTTTAAAATCTTGAAGTGAAGAAGGAATAGAATAATAAGTGGATCAGATACTTTAGAGAAAAACTATCAAGAAAAATTAATCTATTAATTATAGAAGATTGCTTCAAAAAACTTTAGCTGGGGTCTGACCCATTAGTTGCAGAAGAACAAAGCAAAGGGTGACTATTTTGCAAAAACTGTTTAGATAGTGACCATTCTAAATGCTTATCTATGCACAGAAGTGCATCAGCTGATGATATTTTAAACAATCTTTTTGTTTGTAAATAAATTATTTTTTAACACATGTGTATTTGTTAATTTTTCAAAACCAAGTTCTTAGACTTCAACCTCAAGATGGCAATTTTAAAAACTGTTTTAAAAAACCGCTAATGGGACCAATTTAAACATTGCACCAAATGAATGCTTTTATTTTGTAGTTTAGACATCATATAGATTCAGTATGGTGCTACTAGTGGTTTTTGAGATAATGACTGAAATGTTCAAAAACTACAGCAAAATCATGTGCAAAAATAAATTAGTTTTTGTATTATGAAAATTATCCAATTTTCTTCCTGAAATACTATTATTATTAGCCAGAAAAATGTATTTTTATGTAGGCTCTTAATTCCTTATTGTTCAATAATAATCTTCCAAGTTTTAGATCAATAATCTTTTTTTTTCCATCACTTTCAGACTCAGAAACTAGTTTTTAAGTTTATTTTTCCTTTAAAATTGTTAAACTTTGCATTGCTATAACTTTTTAAATAGATAAAAATTTTTTTTTTTTTTTAACTCAACTTTGCATGCCATTTAAGTATACAAAAATAAAGTTAATTTATAATTTCAAAACATTAAATGTCTATGTCCACCATTTAAACCACTGTGCACACAGCTGTTCTATATGTTTTACCAGAGATATGCTTTTAATAGTTTATATATCTTTTTTATTTGCTTTAATACCTTCCTTAGATAAATTCCTGAGGGGCTGTCTATAAATGATGTCAGTGATTTTACTCAATTTTTTGTCCCCTTCCCCCCTTTGTCAAAATGTTAATTTTTAGCCAACTCCCCTTATATATGATGTCAGTTTTTCTATCCCCTCCCCTCCTTAAATAACATTAAAAATATGTGTAAAATTAGAAGATAATAGAATGAGTTACCGAGTCATAAAAACAGAGACG